ACGAAGACGAGGACAAAGATGATGAGGATGGAGACGAGGACGAATGACGATGATGATGACGAAGGGGATGAAGGTGAGGCCTCCACCCGCAGGGAGGAGCAGGCCGAGGAGGTGAAGAAGAAGAAGAAGGACGACGAGGAGGACACGATCCCGCCCGAGATCTGGGAGCTGCTCAAGGGCGTCACCAAGAAGAGCGAGTACGAGCGCATCGCCTTCCAGTACGGCATCACCGACCTGCGCGGCATGCTCAAGCGCCTCAAGAAGATCAAGGTAGGATGAAGAGGAGGAAGATGAGGAGGAAGGGCGGGAGGAGGAAGCTGAGGAAGACGAGGAGGAGGAGGAGGAGGAGGAGGAGGATGAGGGGAAAAAGGAGGAGGAAGGGCAGGAGGAGGAAAAGGAGGAGGAGGAGGAAGGCAGAAGGAGGAGGAGGAAGACGAGGAGGAGGAAGGGCAGGAGGAGGAGGAGGAAGGGCAGGCAGAGCAAGAGGAGGAGGAGGAAGTAAGGAGGAAGAAGGCAGGAGAAGGAGGAAGGGCGGGAGGAGGAAGAGGAGGAGGAGGAGGAAAAGGAAAAAGGGCAGAAGGAGGAGGAGGAGGATGGGATGAAGATGACAATGGGGATGGGATGAAGATGAGGATGAGGATGAGGATGAGGATGAGGATGAAGTCAGGAATGGTGTCAGGATGAGGACAACTTCGGGACAAGATGAGGATGAGGATGATGATGACGATGGCAATAACGATGGGGATGGGATGAGGCCGACTTTGGGATGAAGATGATGAGGGTGAGGATGAAGATGAGGATGAAGATGAGGATGACTTCGGGATGAGGATGAGGACCGGAACAGGGCTGGGATGAGGATGACTTTGGGATGAGGATGATGAGGATGAGGACGAGGATGATGAGGATGACTTTGGGATGAGGATGATGAGGATGAGGACGAGGATGATGAAGACGACTGGGATGAGGACGAAGAGGACAGGGATGGGATGAGGATGAGGACGGGGTTGGGACAAGGGCAGCTTTGGGATGAAGGTGACGAGGACGAGGACGAAGATGATGACAATGACGATGCCGATGACAATGATGCTGACCATGACCATGTCAATGACCGTGACCATGATGACCACGGCCATGCCAGTGACCACAATGACCATGACCATGCCAATGACCACAATGACCATGGCCACGATGACCATGACCATGATGATGGCCATGACCCTGATGACCACAGCCATGATGAACATAACCATGACCATGACCATGATGACCATGATGATGATGACCATGATCATGGCCATGATGGTGACGATGGCCATGATGATGATGACCATGATGACCATGGCCATGATGATGATGACCATGATCATGACCATGATGATGATGACCATGACGATGATGACCATGATGACCATGATGATGATGACCATGACCATGATGACCATGATGACCATGATGGTGATCATGACCATGATGATGATGACCATGGCCATGATGACCATGATGCCCATGATGATGATGACCATGATGACCATGATGATGATGACCATGATGACCATGACCATGATGATGATGACCATGATCATGACCATGATGATGATGACCATGACGATGATGACCATGACGATGATGACCATGATGGTGACTGTGATCATGACCATCATGATGATGACCATGACCATGATGATGATGACCATGATCATGGCCATGATGGTGACCATGACCATGATGATGATAGCCATGATGACCGTGACCATGACCATGACCACAATGACCATAGCCATGATGACCATGATGATGATGGCCATGATGACCATGACCATAACCATGATGACCACTGACCATGATGATGATGGCCATGATGATGACTGTGATCATGACCATGATGCTGATGACCATGCCCATGACCACGATGACTATGGCCATGATGACCATGATGATGATGACCATGACCATGACCATGATGACCATGATGATGATGACCATGACCATGACCATGATGACCATGATGATGATGACCATGACCATGACCATGATGACCATGATGATGATGACCATGACCATGACCATGATGACCATGATGATGATGACCATGACCATGACCATGATGACCATGATGATGATGACCATGATGATGATGACCATGATGACCATGACGATGCCCATGACCACGATGACCATGGCCATGGTGACCATGGCCATGATGATGATGGCCATGACCATGATGATGATGGCCATGATGATGATGACCATGATGATGACCATGACCATGACCATGATGACCATGATGATGATGACCATGACCATGACCGCAACCATGACAGTAGGGATGGAATGAGGATGGAGAGCATGGGGATGGGATGAGGATGAAGATGAGGATGAGGATGAGGACAGGAACAGGGTCGGGATGAGGATGACTTTGGGACGAAGATGATGAGGACAAGGATGACGAGAACGAGGACAACGAACTGGGTGGATTTTGGGAGAGGGGAGAGGCTCAAGCGCCTCAAGAAGATCAAGGTGGAGCGCAAGAAGAGCCAAGGTGTGGGAAATTTGGGGGGAATCTGGGGGATTTTGGGAGAATCTGGGGGAATTTTGGGAAAATTTATGGAAATTTTGAGGATTTTGAGGAAAATTTTGAGGATTTTGAGGAAAATTTTGAGGGAACTTTGTGGAGATTTGGGGGGATTTTGAGGGGTTTTGGGAATTTGGGGAGGCTCAAGCGCCTCAAGAAGATCAAGGTGGAGCCCAAGAAGAGCGAAGGTGCGGGAAATTTGGGGGGAATTTGGGGGATTTTGGGAAAATTTATGGAAATTTTGGGGAAATTTTGAGCAATTTAGGGAAAATTTTGAAGGAATTTGGGGAAAATTGGAGGGATTTTGGGAGAGGGGAGAGGCTCGAGAGGCTCAAGAAGATCAAGGTGGGGCCCAAGAAGAACGAAGGTGACGGAAATTTGGGGGATTTCGGGAAAATTTTGGAAAATTTATGGAAATTTTGGGGGTTTCTGGGGAAATTTTGGGGAAAATTGGGGGGATTTTGGGGATTTGGGGTTTTTTGGGTTCCCAGGTGGTTTTTGGGGTTCCCAGGTGGTTTTTGGGCTCACCTGAGCTTACCTGTGCCCCCAGCCTTCATCCCAAAGCCGCATCCCTGATGGTTCCCTGTAGGATTTTGGAGATTTTGGGGGAATTTGGGGGGATTTTGGATTTTTTGGGGTTTCCCAGGTGGTTTTTTGGGGTTCCCAGGTGATTTTTTGGTCTTCCCAGGTGACTTTTTGGAGTTCCCAGGAGGTTTTGGGGGTGGTTCCTGGGTGTTTTTTTGTGTTCCCAGGTGTTCTTTTGGGGTTCCCGGGTAGAATTTTGGGGTTCCCAGGTGGTTTTTGGGGTTCCCAGGTGATTTTTTGGGCTCACCTGAGCTCACCTGTGCCCCCAGCCTTCATCCGGAAGCTGGACCCCTGATGGTTCCCTGGGGGATTTTGGACCTTTTTTGGGTTCCCAGGTGATTTTTGGGTGTTTCCAGGTGATTTTTTGGACTTCCCATTTGACTTTTTGGAGTTCCCAGGAGGTTTTGGGGGGGTTCCTGGGTGGTTTTTTGTGTTCCCAGGTGTTTTTTTGGGGTTCCCGGGTGTTTTTTGGGGTTCCCAGGTGGTTTTTGGTGATTCCCAGGTGACTTTTGGGGGTTCCCGGGTGATTTTTTGGGCTCACCTGAGCTCACCTGTGCCCCCAGCCTTCATCCTGGGACAGGTGTGCCCCAGGGGTCCCTCAGCTGTCCCCCAGCACTCCCAAGTGTGCCCAGGGGTGGCACAGGTACCCCCAGGTGTGCTCAGGTGTGCCCCAGCTGTGGCATAGGTGTGGCACAGGTGCCCCCAGGTGTCCCCAGGTGTGCTCAGGTGTGGCACAGGTGTCCCCATCACCCCAAATGTGCCCCCAGGTGTGGCACAGGTGTCCCCAGGCACCCCCACGTGTGCCCCAAGTGGGCATAGGCACCCCCAGGTGTCCCCAGGTACCCCCAGGTGTGCCCCAGGTGTGGCCCAGGTGTGGCACAGGTGCCCCCAGGTGTCCCCAGGTACCCCCAGGTGTGCTCAGGTGTGGCCCAGGTGTCCCCAGGTACCCCCAGGTGTGCCCCAGCTGTGGCCCAGGTGTGGCACAGGTGCCCCCAGGTGTCCCCAGGTACCCCCAGGTGTGCTCAGGTGTGGCACAGGCGCCCCCAGGTGTGCCCCAGCTGTGGCCCAGGTGTGGCACAGGTGCCCCCAGGTGTGCTCAGGTGTGCCCCAGGTGTGGCACAGGTGCCCCCAGGTGTTCCCAGGTACCCCCAAGTGTGCTCAGGTGTGCCACAGGTGTCCCCAGGAACCCCCCAAGTGTGCCCAGGTGTCCCTCAGCTGTCCCCGGGCACCCCAGGTGTGCCCCAGGTGTGGCCCGGGTGTCCCCAGGCACCCCCAGGTGTCCCTCAGGTGTCCCCCAGCACTCCCAAGTGTGCCCAGGTGTGGCACAGGCGCCCCCAGGTGTCCCCAGGCACCCCCAGGTGTGCCACAGGTGTCTCCCAGCACTCCCAAGTGTGCCCAGGTGTCCCTCAGCTGTCCCCGGGCACCCCAGGTGTGCCCCAGGCGGACATAGGCACCCCCCAGGTGTGCCCAGGTGTGCCCAGGCACCCCCAGCTGTGCCCAGATGTGCCCAGGTGCCCCCAGCTGTGCCCAGGTGCCCCCAGCTGTGCCCAGCTGTGCCCAGGTGTGCCCAGGTGTGCTCCCCAGGTACGTGTTCGAGAACGTGGGCCTCAAGCGCATCCTGACCATCAACAAGTGCTCCCCAGTGCCCCTAGAGACCCCCAGGTGCCCCCAGGTGTGCCCCAGGTGTCCCCAGGTGTCCCCAGCTGTCCCCCAGGTGTGCCCAGGTGCCCCTAGCTCTGCCCAGGTGTGCCCAGGTGCCCCCAGATGTGCCCAGCTGTGCCCAGGTGCCCCCAGCTGTCCCCCAGGTGTGCCCAGGTGTGCCCAGGTGCCCCTAGCTGTGCCCAGGTGTGCCCAGCTGTGCCCAGCTGTGGCCCAGGTGTGCCCAGGTGTGCTCCCCAGGTACGTGTTCGAGAACGTGGGCCTCAAGCGCATCCTGACCATCAACAAGTGCTCGCTGGCCGACGACGCCGCGTACGAGTGCCGCGTCAACGACGAGAAGAGCTTCACCGAGGTCTTCGTCAAGGGTGAGCGCCGGCACCTGGGGGGCTCCTGGGGGGTCCTGGGGGGTCCTGGGGGGTCCTGGGGGGTCGGGTACCTGGGGCGTCCTGGGGGCACCTGGGGGGCACATGGGGGCACCTGGGGGGCTCCTGGGGGGTCCTGCGGGGCACCTGGGGGGCAGCTGGGGGGTGATTTGGGCCACCTGGGTGGGATTTTGGAGGTCTTGGAGGTGCCTTTGGAGCAGGTTTGAGGCACCTGGGGGGGCATTTGTGGGCACCGGTGACCTTCGTGAAGGGCCCCGAGGACCAGCAGGTGTCCCTGCTGTCCCCTCACCTGTCCCCTCACCTGTCCCCTGTCCCCTGCCCCTCACCTGTGCTCACCTGTCCCCTGCTGTCCCCTCACCTGCCCCCTGCCCCTCACCTGTCCCTCACCTGTCCACTGCCCCTCACCTGTCCCTCACCTGTGCTCACCTGTCCCCTGTCCCTCACCTGTCCCTCACCTGTGCTCACCTGTCCCCTGTGTCCCCTCACCTGTCCCTCACCTGTCCACTGCCCCTCACCTGTCCCTCACCTGTCCCCTGCCCCTCACCTGTCCCCTGCTGTCCCCTCACCTGTCCCCTGTCCCTCACCTGTCCCCACCTGTCCCCCATGTCCCCCAGAGCCACCAGTGACCATCGTGAAGGGCCATGAGGACCAGCAGGTGGCCCCTGCTGTCCCCTCACCTGTCCCCTGCCCCTGTCCCCCACCTGTCCGTGTCCCCCAGAGCCGCCGGCGACCATCGTGAAGGGCCATGAGGACCAGCAGGTGGCCCCTGCTGTCCCCTCACCTGTCCCCTGCCCCTGTCCCCCACCTGTCCGTGTCCCCCAGAGCCGCCGGCGACCATCGTGAAGGGCCATGAGGACCAGCAGGTGGCCCCTGCTGTCCCCTCACCTGTCCCCTGCCCCTGTCCCCCACCTGTCCGTGTCCCCCAGAGCCGCCGGCGACCATCGTGAAGGGCCATGAGGACCAGCAGGTGGCCCCTGCTGTCCCCTCACCTGTCCCCTGTCCCTGTCCCCCACCTGTCCGTGTCCCCCAGAGCCGCCGGTGACCATCGTGAAGGGCCATGAGGACCAGCAGGTTTACCTGTCCCTTACCTGTCCCTCACCTGTCCCCTGTCCCTGTCCCAGAGCTGCCAGTGACCATCTTGAAGGGCCCTGAGCACCAGCAGGTGTCCCCTGCTGTCCCCTCACCTGTCACCTGTCCCTCACCTGTGCTCACCTGTCCCCTCATCCTGTGTCCGAGTGTCCATCCTGTGTCCGAGTGTCCACCCTGTGTCCGTGTGTCCACCCTGTGTCTGTGTGTCCATCCTGTGTCTGTGTGTCCATCCTGTGTATGAGTGTCCGTGTGTCCATCCTGCGTCCATCCACACTGTCCGTGTGCCCATCCTGTGTCTGTGTGTCCATCCCCACTGTCCGAGTGTCCATCCTGTGCTCGAGTGTCCACCCCATATCCATCTCCATCTCCACTCCATCTCCACTCCATGTCCACTCCATGTCCACTCCAAATCCACCCCATGCCCACCCCGTGTCCATCTCTACACCCACCCCACGCCCACCTCACGTCCACCCCGTGCCCACCTGGTGTCCACTCCGTGTCCATCCCCATGTCCACTCCATGTCCATCTCCACACCCACCCCGTGTCCACCCCGTGTCCATCCCCACGCCCACCTGGTGTCCACCCCGTGTCCACCCCATGTCCACCTCATGTCCACACCGTGTCTACCCCGTGTCCATCTCCACACCCACCCCATGTCCACTCCATGTCCATCCCCACACCCACCCTGTGTCCACCCCATGCCCACCCCATGTCCATCTCCACATCCACCTGGCGTCCACCCTGTGTCCACCTCATGTCCACCCCGTGTCCCTCCCCACACCCCCCCCGTGCCCACCTGGTCTGTGTGTCCATCCCCACTGTCCGAGTGTCCATCCTGTGCTCGAGTGTCCACCCCATATCCATCTCCATCTCCACTCCATCTCCACTCCATGTCCACTCCATGTCCACTCCAAATCCACCCCATGCCCACCCCGTGTCCATCTCTACACCCACCCCACGCCCACCTCACGTCCACCCCGTGCCCACCTGGTGTCCACTCCGTGTCCATCCCCATGTCCACTCCATGTCCATCTCCACACCCACCCCGTGTCCACCCCGTGTCCATCCCCACGCCCACCTGGTGTCCACCCCGTGTCCACCCCATGTCCACCTCATGTCCACACCGTGTCTACCCCGTGTCCATCTCCACACCCACCCCATGTCCACTCCATGTCCATCCCCACACCCACCCTGTGTCCACCCCATGCCCACCCCATGTCCATCTCCACATCCACCTGGCGTCCACCCCGTGTCCACCCTGTGTCCACCTCATGTCCACTCCATGTCCATCCCCACACCCCCCCGTGCCCACCCTGTGTCCATCTCCACACCCACCCCGTGCCCACCCCGTGTCCTTCCCCTGTCCACCTCATGTCCACCCCGTGCCCCCCGTGCCCACCCCGTGTCGCGTGCAGGACGAAGGACGGCGTGGAGCTGACCCGCGAGGAGACCTTCAAGTACCGCTTCAAGAAGGACGGCAAGAAGCACTTCCTGATCCTCAACGAGGCCAGCAAGGAGGACACCGGCCGCTACCGCATCATGACCAACGGCGGCGAGGCCGAGGCCGAGGTCATCGTGGAAGGTCAGAGCTCCTGGGAGGTCCTGGAGGAGTTTGAGGGAACGTTCTGGAGATCCCAGAAGGTTCTAGGGCAGTTTGGGAGTTCTGGAAGGTCCTGGAAGGTTCAGGAGATGTTTGAGGGAAGGTTCTGGAGATCCCAGAAGGTTCCCAGGATGTCCATGGGAAGTTGGAAGGTTCTGGGAGGTTCTGGAGATGTTTGACGGAAGGTTCTGGAGATTCCAGAAGGTCCCAGGGATGTCCATGGGAAGTTGGAAGGTTCTGGGAGGTTCTGGAGATGTTTGAGAGAAGGTTCTGGAGATCCCAGAAGGTCCTAAGGGATATGGGAGGTTCTGGAAGGTCCAGGAGATGTTTGAGGGAAGGTTCTGGAGATCCCAGAAGGTCCTAAGGAACATGGGAGGTTCTGGAAGGTTCTGGAAGGTCTAGGAGATGTTTGAGGGAAGGTTCTGGAGATCCCAGAAGGACCCAGGGCAATCTGGGGGTTCTGGATGGTTCTGGAGGGTCCTCGAGGTGTTTGAGGGAAAGTTCTGGAGATCCCAGGAGGTCCCAGGGATGTCCATGGGAAGTTGGAAGGTTCTGGAAGGTTC